GAATTCCCAGGGATTCTGGGATTCCAGGTCAATCCCAGCACTGAGGGATGGATCCCTGTGCTGCTGGAAAAGTGGGAATGGGATGGAACAGGGGGAATTCCCAGGGATTCTGGAATCCCAAATTATCCCACAACTAAACAATAGATTCCTGTGCCACTGGAAAACTGGGAATGGGAGAGAACAGAGGGAATTCCCAGGGATTCTGGGATTCCAGGTCAATCCCAGCACTGAGGGAGGGATCCCTGTGCCACTGGAAAAGTGGGAATGGGAGAGAACAAGAGGGAATTCCCAGGGATTCTGGGATTCCAGGTCAATCCCAGCACTGAGGGATGGATCCCTGTGCCACTGGAAAAGTGGGAATGGGAGAGAACAGGGGGAATTCCTGGGAATTCTGGAATCCAAAATTATCCCACAACTAAACAACAGATCCCTGTGCCACTGGAAAACTGGGAATGGGATAGAACAGGAGGGAATTCCCAGGGATTCTGGGATTGCAGGTCAATCCCACAACTAAACAATAGATCTTTGTGCCACTGGAAAACTGGGAATGGGAGAGAACAGGGGGAATTCCCAGGGATTCTGGGATTCCAGGTCAATCCCAGCACTGAGGGATGGATCCCTGTGCCGCTGGAAAACTGGGAATGGGAGAGAACAGGAAAGAATTCCCAGGGATTCTGGGATTCCAGGTCAATCCCACAACTAAACAATAGATTCCTGTGCCACTGGAAAACTGGGAATGGGATGGAACAGGGGAGAATTCCCAGGGATTCTGGGATTCCAGGTCAATCCCAGCACTGAGGGATGGATCCCTGTGCTGCTGGAAAACTGGGAATGGGATGGAACAGGAGAGAATTCCCAGGGATTCTGGGATCCCAAAAATCATCCAACATCTGAGAAACAGATCCCTGTGCCACTGGAAAACTGGGAATGGGAGAGAACAGGGGGGAATTCCCAGAGATTCTGGGATTCCAGGTCAATCCCAGAATTGAAGGATGGATCCCTGTGCCACTGGAAATCTGGGAATGGGATGGAACAGGAGAGAATTTTTGGGAATTCTGAAATCCAAAATTATCCCACAACTAAACAACAGATCCCTGTGCCACTGGAAAACTGGGAATGGGAGAGAACAGGGGGGATTTCCCAGGGATTCTGGGATTCCAGGTCAATCCCAGCACTGAGGGATGGATCCCTGGGCCACTGGAAAAGTGGGAATGGGAGAGAACAGGGGGGAATTCCCAGGGATTCTGGGATCCCAAATTATCCCACAACTAAACAATAGATCCCTGTGCCACTGGAAAAGTGGGAATAGGAGAGAACAGGGGGAATTCCCAGGGATTCTGGGATTCCAGGTCAATCCCAGCACTGAGGGATGGATCCCTGTGCTGCTGGAAAAGTGGGAATGGGATGGAACAG